GATCACTTTCATATTTTTAATATAAATACCCTCAGGATATTTCCCTGAGGCAGGGAAATACCAATTTTGAGTGAAAGAAGAGGGGGGTTAAGTGACTTGCCTAAATGATTCAGGGAGCGTGTGGCAGAAAGAGGTACTGAATCCTTGGCCAACACCAAGCCATCTTTCTGAGCTTTTAGAGACAACAGCTATATCCAGCTCCCTTTATTTATTTCTCGAGATGCCATCATGCCAAAACTTCTGCTAAATTAGAGAGTGAGGCTGAAGGAAAGCTTTCAGTGGATTGCTTTTTTCCATAAATGGAAATATCACAAATCATTCTGGGAAAACAGGTCTTTCTGTTCTTGTCCCTCTTTGTCTGCTTCTCTCCTTTTGGACGTCTTTTCCTCTGCCTCTGGCTCCCAGTTTTCAGATGTACAGTCCTGACCATTTAAAAGTGTTCCTACCCCGCAGGAAGGGAGTAGCTTTTCATTCTTTGGAACTTACTATTTTGCGATGGATTGCACTCTGCAGGCAAGCGAGACTTCTGAAAGAGACAGGGCTGCACAAAGCGGCACAAAAATAAACCGTATCACCAACAATACCGAGCCAGGTTCTCATTGGGGGTAACTCGGTCTGACTCTCGCTGCAGCAGAGCTGACGGCTGCCAGCTGTCCTGGATAGACAGCATGTACCCAAACGATGACCTGGCCACAGTGGAGGAGGTCTCTCTAGGGCTGAACACGCAGTTAACGTGGATTTTCATGCAGTTTAGACACGCAGTCCCCTCTTGGCAGTATGGCAGGTTGTCTCTGTTCGTAATGCCCCGTCTGGGCAACTTAGGTCCCAGTCAAGCCACTGGGGGAAGTCCACTTTGCACCAGTCCTACCTTCTCCAGCCTGCATTTTCCAAAGCTTGGGCAGGCAACAAGCAAACAGCAGGGATCTCATCAAAGGACTCCCAGTAATACCCAGGGGGGACCTATGTCTCTGTGATTTTCCACAGACCTGGGCATCCCCAGCCTTTCTGTCCAGAGACAAGTCAGAGCCTTCTTTGCAGCCTACACATTCCAAAGCAGACTGCTCCAAGGATGCCCACACGGATACGCTAGGGAGAGGGAGGCGGCTGCGATGAATGAGAGAGACTGAGAAACAGGAGGAAGATCTGGTGGGTGAGCAGGAGAAAGAGGACGAGGAGAAATCCCGAACTGTGCTGAGAGAGCTGAATTGAGAAGGTGGAAGTATGTGGCTTAAGTTTCTCAGAGAGGTGTGCAGGAGAAGTCAGAGGGCTCCACACCTGCCTGTTTCACGGTTCACAGCATGAAATTGCTCAAGTTGGGAAGAGCAGGAAGGGTAAAGGGACACAAATTTAGAGGAGACATCGCTCTTAATCCCTTGAGGGCTCTCAGAGCCCTGCATGCCCTCCCAAATAATGATTTGCTCTTGCTCAGGCATTCAGGACTATTAACTATAGGGTGGCACATGGCTCTTCCCTCCTCAGCTCTGCAAACCACACGTGCAGCATGGGCCAAGGGCTGTTGTGTCAGACCACAGTGGCATGGCTGAGCTGCTCCATCCTCCTCCTTGCCCATGGCCCTTCCACACTGGCAGAGGTGCCAAGGGAGGCTGCCACACCACCTCAGCAGGCCACAGATGTCCGCCAGAGAATTGCCGAGTGACCTTGGCGCAAGAGGCGATGTCGGGGCCTTCCCGGCACTGAGCAGGTTGCTGAACCATTTGCCAACCATCACTCACCTACGCCCTGGGTGTGCAGAGCCACCGGCACCCACACCGTGCCCTCTTTACCACCTCCCCATACGGCATGAGGCAGAGGAATGCCATCACCCTCATTTTGGGGGGGGGAACTCTGAAGCAGAGAGAAGAAGTGGTTCTAACAGCATGCCTGTGGCAGAGCAAAACACTGAATCTTGCTCTCTCATATTCCCAGTTAGCGCATTAATGACCTAAATTCTGCATCCTTTCCCCATCCATCGCCCAGAGGAGCTAGGAGGCATTGGAGGAGAGGGTGTGGTAGCACAGCCGGCATCCAGAGTCACAGGGCTCTGTGCTGAGCACAGACAAAGCAGGGACTGAAGCGGGACCGACGCTGCCCACCCTGCCCTGATGGAGCCTGGCAGGGTTGAGCCAGGCAGGGGGATCAGCCTGGAGCAGCACATCAGCCTGTGGTGAAGGGCAGCTCCTCAAAACCACAGCATTTTAAGGGAGCCAAGGCTGGACATCCCGATGGCCAAGCACCCTGCTGAGTGAGATCAGGAAGGCCTTTCGGACACTCAGCACCAGGAGCAGATTTTCAAAGAGCCTGCGTGTCCCCTCATCCTGCCTAAGCGGCTGAACCTCTAACTAGCTATCATCCCACACAAGTCCACATAAAAGACACCCTGCAGAAGATGCAGCATCTTTCCCAAGCAGCTTGATTCTTCACACCGGAAATATTCAAGCTCTAATACAGCAAGAAGCGGAGCAGGGGAGAGGGAGAAGAGAGGAAGCGGGGGAAGGATGGTACAGAGAGAGGGGTTTTCCAGAGGCAGTGCCTCTTCCTTCCCTGGCTGATTCCAGCTTGGGGTTCTGGCTGTGCACCAGGAGCTTCGCCAGGATGCATGCAGGCTCTGCCTGCCCCCCAGCATGTACAGGCAAGAGGCGCTCAATTTTATGGATCTGCTGAGCAAGGAGCTGCAATCTGAGGCTGGAGACTTCTCCAGTGCTTCAGAAAGCAGCCGTGTCCACGTGCACTGTATAGCAGTGGCCACAGCCAAAGGACCAGGGTGACGAGTTGCTCATCTGCTGCAGGCAGATGGCCCCAGGCAGTCAGAGGCAAGCAAGGGAAGGGGCGTCCTTCATGCCGTATCTGCCTTCCTAACAGGTATTTAAGCGGGCAGGTAACAGGGTGGGAGCGTGGCAGAGGAATTTGCTTGGCTAGGAAGCTTTCCTTCCAGAAGAGCCATGGCTGAGAAGCAGACACTTCTTGAACAAGGTAACTGGATTGGGGATGGGTGATTAATAACCTCCTTTTATAACCTACAGTTTCAATGCAGGAATATCACTTCAGAGGTACGTGGAGAGGCTTTGTTCCTACTTTCTTCTCCTGTTTCTTACCTCTTACATGCATATGCACTCCTCTCTGCTGTCTCTAGCCTCTTCATGGAAGCTCTTTGAGCTAGTCGTTAAAGGCAACAGGTATCTCAGAAGTATCAGGCACAAACTGACTGGATGCAGAAGGACTTGAGCTTGGGGCCTGACCTAGAGGAATCCACCTACCTGCTTTCTACAGCTATTTGCTCAGCACTGCCTCCCAAAGCATGCCAAACCTTGCTCCAGGAAAGCCTGGCCTCAAGAAGAAACTCAGGGGGAATCCTTTGATCCTTCTTCCAGCTATTCCCAAATACCTGAAAGATGATTGGAATTCATCTGGAATGAACCTTCCAAGATATGACTCAGGCACCTGACATAGTCTCTGTAGGTCTCAGCCTGGGTAGGGTTGACCTGGAAGACCTCCAGGTTCCTCACAAGCAACCCTTCCCAGAGACAACAACCATAATTCTGGTGGCTTCATTGTCCCCTCACCCTGTACACCCAGCTGGTCTGGGGGCTGGGCTCGGGACCTGGGTGGCAGGTGGCTTTCCCAGGTTGCCAGAGCATTTATAACTCTCCAGACTCAGGCTCAAAACTCTTCTGCTGAGGGATCAGTCAGCCTGAGCCACTTTGGTAGCTGATGTCTGGTGAGGAGGGCCATGGCATTGCCATGCCTACCCATGCACCTCATGCAGACACTGCATTCCTCATTTCTGCACAGATTATGTCCATCAGTTGTGTGTTAATGGCCAGACAGTACAAGAGTCCTGGGGGAAAACTAAGGGAAGGTGGGAGAAGAAGTTCAGGGGAAGCCCAGGAGTTATAATGAAATTGCCTTCCACATGGTCACTCCTGTACAAGTGTGAACAACCTGATCCTTTGAAATACTAGTGAACCAGTGGTCATGATGATGTTGTGGCTCTCTGGAGTAGTGTTCCTGATTTCAAGAGGAGAGAGAAATGAATGACGAAAATAAGAGCCCAGTAGACATCCCACATGGCAGAAAAACGGAAGATGTTGCTGGTCTCTTGCTGGGATGGCTTTGCTGGTTGTAGAGTGTGTGAAAAAGGGTGTCCCATGGCTAAAGTTAGCAGAAGGCCCTGAACCTAACAAGCCTGAGAAAGCTGAGGTTGACCAGCCCAGCTGCTCTCACTTACGGCAGAAGACTTTGCTCCCCAAGTGCAAAGGGTGTTTTGCTGCTGAGCCACATCCACACACTTGCACCAAGCTTCTTGTAGCCTTAGTCTGTGAGAGGACACAAGAGGAGGCCTGATAAAGGTATGCAAAAACAAGAGTCTTATGGGAAAAGTAGATAAAGAGCTTTTGTTGTTCTTGTACCACAGCAGAGCAATGGGATGTATCCTGCCCATGAAATGAATAGGCAGCAAATTCACAGCTGAGAGAAAGAAAGAAATGCTTTTGTACCCAAACCTGATCACCCCACCACACGCACACTGCTGGGATCCACCGAGGCCACGCCAGGTGAAACACAAACACCCACAGTTACGCTGGTTGATGCTGAGGGAAGGGACCCTGACCCTCGGGCTTCGCAGCTTGACTCAGTCTCTGGCTCTGCTTCCCATCCCACCTTCCTTGGAGATGGGCAGTGCTTTCCTGTCCATCTGCAGCAGGAGCCATACCTACTGGCCAAAGCCTCTGGTGCTTTCCACCACTGAGCAAAGGGCACTGGGCTAGGTGGGCATCAGGTTGGATCCAGATGGCAAATCCCATGTTCCTGTGCAAATAAGAGGGAGATCTACGTGTGAGTGTGCAAGGAGAGTACCTGGGCATTTAATGGGCATCCATACAGGAGCGGGCATGCTGCCTGGGAGGAAGGCAGGGTGGGCACAAAGGGCTATGCAGAGGGCAGCTGTTCCTGCGAGGCAGATTTTGGTGTTCTCATTTGTTCTTTTTTTTTCTCTTGTTCCCTAGGGAATTTTAAAGGTCTGTGTAAGCAAATCGATCACTTCCCTGAGGATGCAGATTATGAAGCCGATACAGCAGAATATTTCCTCCGTAAGTCCGCAGGCTCTTCTCCTTGCAATGGCTTGTAGGTGCCAGCATCGGGTGCCTTTCGCTTTCTGAAGGTGGGACCTGTGAGGCTCAGTGGGCCAGAGAGAGGTGATCACCACCCCCCAGAAACAGCTCCATTCTCACCTCCCTGGGGCTCTGCCCATGAGACAGTACAAGTTTTGAACTCACAGTAACAACCAGTGACATTTTTTATTAACAGCAATTAATTACCATATACATCTAGATTCTTAATTCAAATCCATTGGAGAGCTGTTGAGTGGGCATAAGGTCAGGACGGGTTAGCTGGGCCAGTGTGGGTGTCTGAGAGCGTGTGTGTGTCCTCCTAAAGCAGAGGAAGCTTTTATTTCATTTCCTTACCTGATACTCCAGTTACATCAGATTTAAGAAATTAGCTGGATTGTGTCTGAGGAGCACCTGTTTCTGTCTTCACCTTTCCCTGAACACCACTTGCCTACAGAGACTGCAGATGTAATCTTCACTGGTTTTCAGGATTTTAGTGACAGGAATGGGAAATAGGAATAAGGACAGTCAGGGCCCTTTGAAGAAAAGACCTGGTGCCCACCCAGAGCCCTCAGGAGAGGTGCTGTACCCCAGGCACGTGGTGTCTCCATAAGGAAACCTAACCTGGGCTCCAAGTCCAGCTTGGGAGGCGTGGGTGAAGCTCACACCACTTTGTGCTTGGAGACAGGGAAGACAGCCAAGCTAGCAGAGCAGATCCACATCATCCCTGCCTGATCACAAGTCAGCATTTCCACCTGCCCCAGAAGCAGGAGCTTCCTCTTCCTTTAGCACAGCTGAACAGGGATCACTCCTCCTCTTGGGTCCTCACCTTGCTATCCTGCCTGCCCTCCACAAGCCCAACGCCTTTTGACATCACGAGAAGAGATCTTCTGCCTTCAGAAATCTGAGATAAGAGCTTTTGACCTCCCAAGGTTAAGCATCAGAGTTTCTCCAAAGGCTGGGAGTCTTTCAGAATAGCTCCTTGTCATCCGGGCGTGCTCCAAGCCAGATGTGGAGACCCAGCCCTGCGGCAGGGATGAGAGAGATAATTTAGGCTCATTTGTATGTGAAAAGAGGCGGATTTTATGCTGCTTCCTCTTGGTTTTTCAAACAATTCTTCATCCACTGTAAATTGTCAATAACCCAGGGAGATTGCCTCTTTCAGATGCGTTTCTGCAGCATCGGTCTCTTAATCGCTGTGTGGCCCCTGAACGGCAGAGGTTCGATGGGGGTTTGATCCAGTTTGGCACCAGCGACTGTGCAGGCTGCCTCTGAGGGCAAACCAGCTCCTGCAGTTGTTTGGGAGCAAGGAAGCTGCTTGCAGCATCAGCTGCACTTCAGAAAGAAGAGTTGGGGGAAGGGGGCGAACATCTCAAGGAGGATGTGTCTGTTCCCTCAGAGGGAAACAAGATCTGAAGACAAAAATTGGCCCAGCACCAGGACCTGATGTTCTCCCAAGGGTAAAACCCTTTTTTAAGAAAGAGCCAGGTTCAAAGAGGGATTTGACAAGTCAATAAAGGACTAGTTGGGTCATTCCTGAGGGAAGTGGGATTTCTGCTGGCTTAGACCTGACTAGCATGGGACCCCACTGAACAGCTTCTTCCCAAGGCTTCTGCCAAACTGGAGTCCCTGGGCGCTCTGCACAGGTGATACCTGGTGGTACTGGCAGGAACAGCTAGGAAGATGTTTATTAGTGTCAGACTAGGCAATTCCCTCATTCAGGGGATGTGACAATTGTGGCCTGGCTAGAAGGGCTTAGATTTTATTTCTGCCAGCTGTTTATATAAGGAGTCTTAGGCTTTTTGAAATCAAATGCCTGTTGTCAGAGAGGAAGCAGAAACATCCCTGTGTTTCTCTGCTAGAAGACACTCAAGTTTGAGAACAGACAGATGGTACAAGGGAGCATCCGAACACCAAAGGCTCTGAACTCACGAAGACTGGATGAGATTCTGCCCCTCTCTTGCTGGCATGGTTCTGCTGAGGGGCAGAAAGCAGGGGCTGAGCGAAGCTGCTGTCCTCCCTCAACACATAATGCCCGCAGCTCCCCATGCCAGTTGGCAACTTCGTGTTCCCCCAACAGACGTGTATTTCAGAATTAAGACCCAGATACAACTGATGTGGTCAGAGCCAGGCTGCGGGATGGACCGAACATCCCTCTAGAAACCCTCTGAACAGCGAACGTCTGCTTAATATTTGCTTACTGCCATTTAAGCTTCGCATTGTCAAATCCTGACTCGCTTTCCAGAAGCTATTAAGATGGTTATTATTACTATCCTGTTCCCTGAAACACAGCCAGGCAGAACTGGAAAGCAAGCAGGAGAGGTTTCTCCCTGCCTTTTGCATTCCCCATGCACAGGCAGTGGGCTAGGGCCCCCCTCAAAGAGCCCACCAGCTTGTGCCTGGTAGATTCCTGATGCCAACAGGGTCTTTGAAGCAGGAAGGAAAAAGTCCTTCCTGCCCGTTTAGGAAAAAGTCCTGTGCTTGCTTCAGTAGGGTTCATTCCTGCAGGCCAGGAGGGATTAGCTTTCATCCCCCCTTCCAGATCTTTGCTCCACAAGCAGAATTGCACCAGCCCATCTGATACCTTTCTTTATCAAGCAAGGCTTTATTTCACCCTTCAACAGCTTATTTTCTCTTGGGAAGAGAGGGGGGAAGGCCTTCCTAGTTAAAAACAATATGAATATTGGCAACATGAACTCATACAGACCGTTGGCCCACAAGCAGTGTGGGTGTGCAATGAATGTGTGTGCGGGTGTGTGTATACACAGTCCTGGCTTTTCGCTGCGTGAACACGAGAGGAGAGTCCCCCCCAGAAGCTTTGGGGTATGTTTTGCATGCGCGTATGAGCACATACGTGCATCTATGCCATTGCCCTCTGCTGGCTGAGCTCTTCCCGTATCGATCGATGGAGAGCGTGCGTGTGTGGGAGCTGGCACATCCCAACCCATCACTGCCCTCTGGAAGGAGCCCAGTCATTTAATCACTAGGATAAGCCCCGCGTTTCGGCACGCAGGGCTGGGACTTTTCGCTTCTCAGTCCTCACTGCAGCCGCAGAGCAGCACACGGCACCAGGAGCTCCTTCCCAGCCCCCCCAAAAAAATAATAAAAATCTCTCCTTGAGATGTTCGTGCCCTTTCGGGAGGATTCGAGATTGAGCAGCTCTGTGGGAAGCATTTGGGTTGCTGCTCTTTGAAGAGCGGGCTCGAGTGGCAGCACCCTGCAGGAGGAGAAGCCGGATGGTGCTGGGGCTCCCCCTCCAGCCCATGGTCCCCCCAAAAGCAGAGGAAAAGACAGTGTGAAGGGGGACAGGCAGCACGGGCAGGCTCCCAGCTCAGCTCCCTCCATCTCCCCATAAGAGGCTTCAAAGCAGCTTCAGCGGCCGGGGCGCGGGAGAGCTGCTTCAACTGCTCTCTATTTTCTGACACACTTTGTTTCTCTCTCCCTCCCTCTGTCCCCCGATGCTTTTATCTCTCCTTGAATTACCCCCTCCCCGACACGTTGCCCTCTGTCTCTCCCCTTCGCCCCCCCCCACGAAATGTGCTTGCGTACCCCCGTCCCCTTCCCCTGGCACCGTTTCCATGCCCCTTTTTCCTCTCTCTCACACCTGCGCTGTTCTTTCTGCCCCTCTCCCTCTCTCCTCTGCAGGGGCTGTTAGAGCCTCTAGTATATTCCCGATCCTGAGTGTGATTCTGCTTTTCATGGGTGGACTCTGCATTGCAGCCAGCGAGTTCTACAAAACCCGACACAACATCATCCTTAGTGCCGGCATCTTCTTCGTGTCTGCAGGTAAAGGGATGCACAGGGTGTGACGCCCCGGAGATGGGCTCTGGGGGTGGGGGGGGCTGCCCTGTCAGTGCATCCTGCAGGAGAACAGTTGCCTAGGCAGGAGTATGTGTGTTTCCCACCCCTAATGAGCCTTATTCGGGGTGAAAGCAGGCACCTGAGGAGCCCTCTCCACCTGGCCTGCTCTCCTGGCTTTCCTGCTGCTTGGGAGCTGCTGGATGGAGAGGATTCCCCATCCAGCATCTCTCAGGGACCAGCTGGGAGTCCAGACTGGGGATACAGCAGGCACGCGATGAGGGTCTTGCCTGGGCTTCCCAAGGAAAGCTACCCACTGGGAGGGGATGGATGACCGGGGACCCTCCTGTCCCACCTTCTGGGGGCAGGGGCTCAACCCCACAACCCCCAGCACCACCATGTGTGACTCTCCTGACGTCTGTTTCCCTCTCTCTCCCCCGCCGGCTGGCTGGCAGGTCTGAGTAATATAATTGGCATCATCGTATACATATCAGCCAACGCTGGAGACCCCTCTAAGAGTGACTCTAAGAAGAACAGCTACTCCTACGGCTGGTCCTTCTACTTCGGGGCCCTGTCCTTCATTATAGCCGAGATGGTGGGAGTGCTGGCCGTCCACATGTTCATAGACCGGCACAAACAGCTGCGCGCCAACGCTCGTGCCACGGACTACCTCCAGTCCTCCGCCATCACCCGCATCCCCAGCTACCGGTACCGCTATCAGAGACGCAGCCGCTCCAGCTCCCGCTCCACCGAGCCTTCACACTCCAGGGATGCCTCTCCCGTCGGGATCAAAGGGTTCAACACCCTCCCATCAACAGAGATCTCGATGTACACCCTGACCAGGGACCCGCTGAAGGCAACCACCACCCCTACCGCCACCTACAACTCCGACAGGGATAACAGTTTCCTCCAGGTTCACAACTGTATCCAGAAAGAGAACAAGGACTCTATCCACACCAACACAGCCAACCGCCGGACCACCCCGGTATGAAGCCGTCACCAGGAGCTGAAAATGGGGCAGGAGCGGGCAGGAGGAGACGGGGTGGGCTGCAGGGTGGGGAGGGTGGAAGGGGGCAGGGGGCAGCAAGAGGGGTGGGAAGGAGGAGGTGGAAGCGCCCCTTTAGGGGGCAACCAACCAACCAACAAAACAAAAACAAAAGCAAACAAAAAAAAAAACGACAAAAAAAAACAACCAACGAACAAGCAGTTAAGCAGACAAACAAGCGAGAGAACAAAAAACAATCAAACGAAAAGGAAACGCGAGGAAAAGAGACAACAGTGAAAAAAAAATTCTTAAAAAAAAAAAAGAAAAAGAAAAAAGGAAAAAAAAGAAAAACTTTAAAACCGAGAGAAAGAGATTTAAAAAAAAGAAA